ATCTACACATATGTGAATGATTCAATGTAAGAAAAATTGGACTCTTTTTTCCAAATGGAAACTATCTATTACAAAGAATTCGGTTCTAAGCTAAGTAAATACTCAATACCCAAGTAGGCTTACAAAGTTGATCATGATATGATCAAGTGCTTTCTGGGTCGTCTCAAACTTTACGATTACTATGTTATCTCAAAAATAGCTGGAGATACACATAGAAAAGGTTTACTTGTTACTAATTTAGTCTAGCCTATATTTTTCTTTAGATCTCTTCTTTCACTCCGATAGTATTATCGATGATATCAATGCAGAGGAAATGAATGCATCTTCACACTATTGCATTTTAAGTATTTAAGTAGGAAATTCAGTAAGTGAACTAGATAAAGCAGAATCTTTATCTAGTTGACTTAACTATACTAGATTTTACGGAGCCTGCTCATGTACAACACGATTCGGACCTGATCATAGAAAAGATTCTCTTTAAGCGAATCAGCCTATCTTCTGTATTAAGGGTTACATGGTGGTTGGAACAAAGACACATTTTGATGTGAATTGCAATGCGGCAGACATCTATCTACACAGATCAATCAATAGTTCAAGTCACACACTCCCATAATCCATTTTCTCTTCGGAGAATTCTCTTCAACTGCGCAATAGTATTTTGATTCGTTGAAGGGAAACATCCAAATCCATGTCTTATTCTTTTCAATAATCCATACTTGTAGCAATAAAATCCTATTATTTCTCCTCTAAGTGATAAATGATTGATTCCAAATATCTATTAGATATCTTCTCTATAAAGGACCAGAAATACCTTGCTTACGTATCATTAGAAAGTGCATTAACATAAATACAGCAGTAAGAAGCGGCAATACAAAAGTGTGTAAACTATAAAAACGAGTCAAGGTGGATTGTCCCACACTAGCACTTCCGCGCAATAATTCTACCAAAGGTGATCCTATTCCAGGAATAGCCTCAGGTACACCTGTTACAATTTTCACTGCCCAATAACCAATTTGGTCCCGAGGCAAGGAATAACCAGTTACGCCAAAAGATGCGGTCAATACTGCCAGAACCACACCCGTAACCCAAGTTAATTCGCGGGGTTTTTTAAATCCACCGGTGAGATATACACGAAAAACATGTAGAATCATCATCAGGACCATCATACTTGCCGACCATCGATGAACTGATCGGATTAACCAACCAAAGTTAGCTTCCGTCATTATGTATTGAACAGAGGCAAAAGCTTCAGTAACAGTCGGACGATAGTAAAAAGTCATAGCAAACCCCGTAGCTACTTGTACTAAAAAACAAGTAAGCGTAATTCCCCCTAAACAATAAATATATTGACATGGGGAGGAACATATTTACTAGTTATATCATCCGCAATTGACTGAATCTCGAGGCGTTCTTCGAACCAATCATAGACTTTATTGAGATAGGTCAAAATCCCCCTCTTAGAACCGTATATGAGACTTTCATCTCGTACAGCTCAAACAAAAACACCCAAATTCAAAAGAAAAAAAAAGAGTCAGATATGGACTAGAAAGTTATGCAATAGAAAAAGTTATGCAATAGAAAGTTTGAAATTTCTTAATCTACGATTCAATCTTTTCTAAATGCACGAAAGAAATCCAAAAGCTCTTCTTTACGGTGATAATACTAAAATATCAAGTTGGCTCCATTTTATTTGTTTAATCCTTACAGGCCTCTTGAATCCTCTCTTTGCCTATTTCTTTTTCTTTCATTTTTTTGTTTCTACTGTGTCTTTTTTCCTTTCTTTATTATTGAATTGATAGGAATTCTCTTGTTAAGACCCTATGGATTGATTAAAACCTCAGATTCATACTAGAACCACGATGATTCAATAAAAAATCATAAGCTAAGCCAAGGATTCCTTGAGTAAGAGCCATTGGACTATCACATATTTCATGAATTAGACTAAAAAAAGAAAGATTTTTCTTTTTTTCAAACAGTTTGAAATTTTTTTGGTGTCCGGACACGAGGTCGAATATTAAGTATGAATCATAGTTCAAATATTTCTTAATCTAGTTCATTATAGTTTGTGTTCCAGATACTTGAAGAAATATCCGACGAAGTAGAACCATCTCTATCAAGGTGACAGACCTAGTCTCTGTACTATCAATAGAATCAATTAGAACAAGTCACACACTCATATTCCGGAAATACAGAAAGAAAGAAATTCCACGATCGAACTACCAAAATAGAATAGGCCATAAATCCAAGTTCTAACTGATTGTTTTTTGGTTCCAAAATGAAAACTTTGTGGTTCTTAGAGATTTAATTCATTGAAATTCCATCCAATAAAACAGACGAATTATAAATCTCCAAAATAATAGATAGAAATACCGCAAATAGAGCCATTGCGACTCCCATCAAAGGGGTCGTTCCCCAACCTGGAGCTACTTTACCATATTCCGAATTCAATGGTTTTAATAAACTCCCTACAGTAGTTCGTCTTGGGCCCGATCTAGAACTGTTCTCAACAGTTTGTGTAGCCATAAATTCTATTGTATTCATTGAGATCTGTTGACTTTGTATACCATTCCGTTGTAAATAAACAATCTTATGAGAAATCCTAACGGATCTTGAAATGATAGAATCATAGTGGAAACAGCAACCCTAGTCGCCATCTTTATATCTGGTTTACTTGTCAGTTTTACCGGGTATGCCTTATATACCGCTTTTGGGCAACCTTCTCAACAACTAAGAGATCCATTCGAGGAACATGGGGACTAGTTGAAGTAATGAGCCCCCCCCGGGGGGCTCATTACTTCAATTGAGATAATGAAAAATCATTTCAGCTTTTTAGTTGGAACTTTAGGTGGTTCTCGAAAAAAGATAGCAAAAAAAATTATTCCTAGAGTCGAGACTAAAAGGAATGTATAAACCAAAGCTTCCATAGATTCGATTGTGATTTACAATTATAGCTTCCCTACCTGTTTGTTTTTTCTTTTTTTTTTTATTCTTTTTGGTAATCATCTCGAAAGAGCAAGAGTTCAAAAGCAGCGATTCAAATTCACTCCGATACTCTATCGAAAATTCCTTGCAAAACCAAAAAAATAGAGGCGAAAGATACCAAAGCGGTCTTGTATCAAACTGCCTGTCTTCTTGTAGTTGGATCCCCAATTTTTTGAAATGCTCCAAACTCTACTTGAGCATCCAAATCTGGGTCAATACCAGCAAAAACATCTCTGAACAAAGTTCTAGCACCATGCCAAATGTGTCCGAAGAAAAAAAGCAAAGCAAACGAAGCATGTCCAAAAGTAAACCAACCCCTTGGACTGCTACGAAAAACACCATCGGATTTCAAAGTCGCCCGATCTAATTCAAAAATTTCACCCAATTGAGCACGTCTAGCATATTTCTTGACGGTAGCAGGATCACTATAAGTGACTCCATTGAGTTCGCCACCATAGAACTCAACGGTTACACCCACCTGTTCAACACTATACTTCGATTCTGCTCTTCGAAAGGGGACATCGGCTCTAACAATTCCGTCGCCATCTACTAAAACGACTGGAAATGTTTCGAAAAAAGTAGGCATACGACGTACAAAAAGCTCACGCCCTTCTTTATCCCTAAAATAGGGTGCCCTAACCATCCAACCGCTATTCCATCCCCGTTATCCATCGAACCCGCCCTGAATAATCCTCCTTTTGCCGGATTATTGCCAATATAATCGTAAAAAGCTAATTTTTCAGGAATTTTCGACCAGGCTTCTGATAAACTTTGATTTTCTGCTAGCCCGACGCTAACTCTTCGATAGATCTCTTGCTGGAAGTAACCCTGATCCCATTGATAACGAGTAGGACCAAATAATTCAATGGGGTAGTTGCTGAACCATACCACATAGTTCCAGCAACAACAAAAGCTGCAAAAAAGACAGCCGCGATACTACTGGAGAGTACGGTTTCGATATTTCCCATGCGCAATCCTTTGTATAGACGTTGTGGCGGTCGAACGCTAAGATGGAATAGACCCGCTAATATGCCCAATGTACCTGCTGCAATATGATGAGAAGCTATTCCTCCCGGAACAAAAGGATCAAAACCTTCCACGCCCCACAACGGATTTACAGGTTGTACTTTTCCCGTTAATCCATAAGGATCGGACACCCAGATTCCAGGACCGTACAGGCCTGTTACATGAAATGCACCAAAACCAAAACAAGCCACCCCGGAGAGAAATAAATGAATTCCAAAGATCTTAGGTAAATCCAAAGAAGGTTTTCCTGTACGTTCATCGCAAAAAATTTCTAGATCCCAATAGACCCAATGCCAGATAGCTGCCAAAAAGCATAAGCCAGAAAACACAATATGTGCCCCAGCTACACCCTCGTAACTCCAAATCCCCGGATTTGTTACAGTCCCTCCTGTGATACTCCAACCTCCCCACGAATTGGTTATTCCTAAACGAGTCATGAAGGGTATAACGAACATACCCTGTCTCCACATTGGATCAAGAACAGGGTCAGAAGGATCAAAAACGGCTAATTCATACAGAGCCATCGAACCCGCCCAACCAGCAACCAGAGCTGTATGCATTATATGAACGGAAAGCAACCGGCCGGGATCATTCAATACAACGGTATGAACACGATACCAAGGCAAACCCATGGAAAATACCCCCTTATCAAAGAAAAATAGACACTACGTAACTTTATTGCATTGCAAAGACTGTAATACTATGATTATCCTATAGACTGCACTTCTTCAGTGGATTATTTACTAACAAGGGTTAAGTTAATATTTATTAACTTCTGTTCCTAATAATGGAAGAATTCTGTTCGTAGAAACAACGATAAGCAGATTTATTCTATACTCGATAAGTACCAATACGCAATGGGAGATTGATGCCAGTTTCTATGAGTAAATATGTCTATCCTTAATTTCTCATTAGGAAAACCTATTTGTAAAAATTTTCCTTTATTGATTTTGTCTTTCTTTCTGAATTTTTGAATCTTTGGATAAAAAATATGATAAAGCCAATATTCGAAAATAGAGACAATAAAACCATATTATTACGTTTCCGCATCAAAGTGAAATTTAGTTCTTTTTTCTTTCAATTCATGCCTATTGGTGTTCCAAAAGTACCCTTCCGAATTCCTGGAGATGACGATGCATCTTGGGTTGACGTATAGTGGGACTTGTCAAATAGATTGGGTCATATGGTATTTCCCCGTTCTCGTCCCCGCCTCTATTTCGCCAAAAAAGAGAAATTGAATCATCCAAAAATTGGAGTGTGAAGTGCAATTCGATGCATTGTTTGGAGGAATTCATAGTTTTATTATCAATTAGAATGATTTATGGTTGGCTCTTGTTGGACTAAAAAATGAAGTATCCAGGCTCCGTTTAGAAAAAACCCAATTAGGAGCATATCTATAATTAGTGTATCATAAATGATTCCTGTTTGTTATTTCTAAAGTCATAACAAAAAGAAATGGTGATGAGAAGATTTGTCCTATATGTGCAAATCGAAATCGGCCGGATCTTTACCCGGAGTAGAGCATAAACCTAAAAAAATGAAATAGGCCCATTCAGGAACATGAAAACACCATCGTGATTTGGATTGAATCTCGATGAAACAATACATCAATGAGAAGTTAATTCAATAAGTTTATTAACTTTTTTCTATTCTAAGAAAGAAACTAAGTCAAAACTCGTCGTTATTGAAAAAAAGCCCTTTCGGTAGAAGTTCGAAAAAACCTGCTATTAAAAAGAATAGGAAAAAGGAAAGAGGACTAGAATTTATACATTGATTCTTTTTTTTTGAACCGTATGCATCAAAAGGTGCATGTACGGTTCCTAGGGGATGCAATTTTACCCCACTCAACCGACTTTATCAAGAAAGATTCCTTTTTTTAGGCCAAGAAGTTGATAGCGAGATCTCGAATCAACTTATTGGTCTTATGGTATATTTCAGTCTTGAGAATGCTGCCAAAGATTTCTATTTGTTTATAAACTCCCCTGGCGGGTGGGTAATAGATGGATTAGCTATTTATGATACTATGCAGTTTGTGCGCCCAGAGGTCCATACAATATGCATGGGACTAGCCGCGTCAATGGGATCTTTGCTCCTGGTTGGGGGAGCAATTACCAAACGTTTCGCATTCCCTCACGCTTGGCGCCAATGAGGTTTTTGATTTGAGAGAAAAAAGAAAACTATGCCTTCGCCATATGAATATTAAGTAATAATAGCATGGCACTTCGAATTCGATATGGAAAATTTTTGTATTGTTTTTTTTTTCAAAAGATTCAATTATGTATCGAGAGATTAGTATGAAATAAAAGGTATTTCCCATTTTCTCTTATTTATTGGGAAGCCAATTCAGCGTTACAAACCTTTTTGTTTTCACACCGAAGGGCTCTTAACAATATTTATGTTCTATAAAAAAGAGTGCGAAAAAAAAAACAAGATTTTTCCTTTTTTGGTTGGATTAAAAAGAAACTTTGGGATTGCTCAATCAAAGACAAAAAAATCTATTTTGAAATAGAAAGCAACGGAGCCATCATAGTATTTTTGAACCCCTACGAAAGGAAGGGTGGCGTTTTGATCATTTACCCATCTAGGGCTTGGAGCTGATAGATTTTTTTCTATTTCTTGAATTTGAAGGGTCAATTTGATTGTAGAGCCGTATGCAATGCACAAAAGATGATGCCCGTACGGTTGCTCAATTCGATCTTTTTTTCCTATTATTCTTTATCCTTATTTCCTCTTCGTTTCATCACACCAGATAGAGAACCCTTCTATCATCAGGGTAATGATCCATCAACCCGCTAGTTCTTTTTATGAGGCGCAAACGGGGGAATTTATCTTGGAAGCGGAAGAACTGCTGAAACTACGCGAAACCATCACAAGGGTTTATGTACAAAGGACGGGCAAACCATTATGGGTTGTATCTGAAGACATGGAAAGAGACGTTTTTATGTCAGCAACAGAAGCCCAAGCTTATGGAATTATTGATTTTGTAGCAGTTCAATGACAAAAAAAGGGATTTTGTGAAAATCCGGGATTTGATATTTTATCTCCGGGTTTACTATTTTATTAATATTTTTTTAAATACAAATAATTTAGAATCACCCGGTTAGGATTAATCTAAACCTGCCCATTATGTATATGATTCAACATGCCTACTATTAAACAACTTATTAGAAATACAAGACAGCCGATTCGAAATGTCCCGAAATCCCCCGCTCTTCGGGGCTGTCCTCAGCGTCGAGGAACATGTACTAGGGTGTATGTGCGACTCGTTTCGATTATGAGCTGACGAAAAAAAAAGAAAGAAAACCGATTTTCGGTATGTTGGGATGAATGATCAATACCAGTAAATAGGATAGAATAGAGGAAAGAACTCTATTCACTATCGAAAAATAAGCAAATCGATTCCTCTATTGTGTCTAAAGTTTATGGTTTCCGTTGGTGCAAATCCAATCACCGGAATTTCAGATAAGAAGAAATTCTCCATTGATAGCAAACGCTTATCCATTAAGCGGAGGAAATCTTATTGAAATTCAAAAACAAAAAAAAAACATAAAACTGAGGTTTGCACTCGGTCAAGAACGGACTACGAAGGTCAGCTACCCCAGCTAACTTTCCTAATTAAATATCGTTACTGTATAGGTCGGTCTGATTGTGAAAGGCCTGTTACTGGATAATTCGTGGGTAGAGCCGAAGAGTGTGGTATGAACTATACAAGTTCGCAATAACATTGATTAATTGATTAAATGAAGTAAAGGCTCCGATGTATAGAGAAGACCTCACCGTTTAAGAAGTAACCATAGAAACGATGGAACCCACTATTTCTAGTTCTTTTTTATTGACTCTATTTTGAACACCTATCAAAGGATAGTTCCTTATTTCTTTCGTATTTCGCAGTAAAATACCTAAAAAATCGTGGTCTGGAAGGTTATAGTAGCCAAAGCCATTGGGATTTTGATTTTATACATTGGAAAAATCCGTTTGGTTATTAATAGACCAGGGCGTGGAAAAGAATAACTGAAAGAAAAGAAATCAATTAGTTATTTGTCAAAGTTTTATTTATGTAATGACCAGAATTAAACGCGGATATATAGCTCGGAGACGCAGAACAAAAATTCGTTTCTTTGCCTCAAGCTTTCGAGGGGCTCATTCAAGACTGACTCGAACTATTACTCAACAGAAAATACGAGCTTTGGTTTCGGCTCATCGGGACAAGAATAAGCAAAAAAGAAATTTTCGTCGTTTGTGGATCACTCGAATAAACGCATTAATTCGAGAACGAGGAATATCCTCTAGTTATAGTAAATTAGTACATGATCTATACAAAAGACAGTTGCTTCTTAATCGTAAAATACTAGCCCAAATAGCTATATCAAATAGAAAGTGTCTTTATATGATTTCCAATGAAATCAGAAAAGAAGTAGATTGGAACGAATACACCAGAATAAGTTAAATGGAGTTCCCCGGAGAATGAACTCCGGGAAGGTGGAGTCGAAATGACTATGAGAAAATAGGCTAAAGTAGTGAAAATGAATGAACACGTTCAATAAAAAAAACTCTTTTTTTTTTTCGTTTTTTTTTTTCTTATGACAGACATGATAATAAATCTGGCTTCTCAAATTTGTGTCGAACAAAAAAACCAATCCATGTTTGAGTTCGGATTGGAATTCTGATTCAAGTGAACAAAGAATAAACCTATTTTTTTCTGGTTCTAAGACCAGTAGTTCTAGCGGTCGACTCGGTTCTTTCAAATTGTTTCTCATTGTTGAGAAAAGGTAACAAAGATAAAATACGAGCTTGCTTTATAGCAATAGTAATTAATCGTTGTTGTTTCAAGGTCAATCTATTCAATCGTCTAGATAATATCTTTCCTTGTTCACTAATAAATCGACTAATTAAATTCATGTTTCTATAATCAATTCGATCCCCCGATTGAATCGGGGGCAAACGCCTACGAAAAGATCGCTTGGATTTCAGAAAAGGCCGCTTAGATTTATCCATGGTTTGTTTGTTTAGTTTATTTCTTATCCTAAAAATCCTATTTCTTAATTGTCATTTTCACCCACAATAGGATTTTTTATTAGTAAAATATGTTCTATTTCGAGCTCTATGTTGTTCTATATAATGTCATTTTTACCCTTTCAAGACTAAGATTTCAAAACTAAGATTCGATCTATTTCTTTATTTCCCTATGAATCGTGTGTTTGTAACAATAGGGACAGAATTTTCTCAATTCTAATTGATTAGGCGTATTGTGTCGGTTCTTTTGAGTAATATATCTGGAAATGCCTGTTGATACCTTCTTAACACCGTTTCGGAAACCCTAATTATTGCTTTTTTGATATGCTAGATCAAAAATCCCTCTAATACAAAAGAGACGCCGGTTATTCTGGTTAATCTAGAACAGAAAGTCCAATTCTTTGAATCTCTGAATTATATAAGTAGAAATCACTTCCTTATCCTTCAATGAGCATCTTGTATTTCATAAAAATTAGGGGCAATATAATCCTTACGTAAAGGCCATCCTAGCCAACTTTCAGGCATTAAGATACGTTTCAAGCGCGGATGATTCTCATAAGATATTCCCAACATATCATAAGATTCTCGCTCTTGAAAATCCACGCTTTTCCAAACCCGAAAGCGGACGGAATTATAGGATTCCTTCTTGCGGCAAATACTTTGATGCATACCTCTTCTGGTTGATTTACGCCATACTCGATTCTGGTAAGATGATACACACTCGCTAACAGCCCGCCAGGTGATACATCATAGGCACATTGGGAGCGTAGATAATTGTAACCATATACATATAAAATGACAGCAATGGAATGCCAATCCTCGGGCCTTATTTGTAGGGTCTCTATTCCTTGATAATCAAAGCCCAAAGATCTATGAATTATCCCATGCTTTACTAGCCAAGCAGACAAACGACCCTGCATCTTTTTTATCTCCCGCATTTTTATTTAAAAAATTTCACATTCTCGATCAAATTGATGAAGATTGACTCGCTACTTTTATTCTGTACAAAGGAGTCCTGCCTAATTCACAAATTCGTGAGAAGATACTGAACTTTTATATTTGAAAAAGATTTCAGTAGGGATCTCTGAAGTAGATGGGGGTTGATAGAGGAAGCCTTGATCATAATTTCCAGTATTCATACTGCGTGCACCATGAAACTTGTGATTGGTCGTAAAACACCGATTTACTTGTTGAGGCCTAATTTGATTGTCATAGATTTCTCGAGACATTTTCTTCCGAAGTTTCGTTATAGCATCTATAACTGCTTCTGGTTTAGGGGGACAACCCGGCAAATAGATATCCACAGGAATTAGCTTATCGACTCCCCGAACAGTACTATAAGAATCGGTACTGAACATCCCTCCTGTAATTGTACAGGCCCCCATAGCAATAACATATTTTGGATCGGGCATTTGCTCATATAATCTCACTAAGGAGGGGGCCATTTTCATTGTTACTGTTCCGGCTGTTAAAATTAGATCCGCTTGTCTAGGACTCGATCTTGGTACTAGTCCATAACGATCAAAGTCAAATCGTGATCCTATTAGTGAAGCAAATTCAATAAAACAACAACTGGTACCATAGAGAAGCGGCCATAAACTAGAGAGTCTTGACCAATTTGAAAAGTCATTTAATGTAGTTGAAATAACGGAATTTTCGGCTGTTGGATCAAGTAAAGGAAACTCAATGGAATTCATAACTTTTTCAATCGTTTTTTCTTTTTATTGTCTGAATATTCAGGAACTAGGACCATTCCAATGCCCCCTTTCGCCATGCATAAACTAAACCAACAATTAAGATAAGTACGAAAATGAAAGCTTCTATAAATACGGATAGACCCATACAATCGAAACTCATTGCCCATGGATAAGAAAAACCGTTTCAACATCAAAAACAACAAAAACTAGAGCAAACATATAATAACGAATTCGAAATTGTAACCAAGCATTGCCCATTGGTTCTATACCCGATTCATAACTAGAGAGTTTCTCCGGTCCTTTCCGAATCGGGGCTAAAATTCCGGAAATGAAAAATGCTAAAATAGGAATAAGACTTGATATTATTAGAAATGCCCAAAAAATATCATATTCGTAAAGCAAAAACATAGACACACTCCTATGAACATGGAAAATAGACCGGATTGGTCGATTCGAATTGAAGTTGTAAAGTCATCCAGAACTGTTTAATCAAAACAAGAATTCATTTTGATCAAACCATCTAGTTCCTTTTGATTATTGTGGGCATATCTCATTTCAAGATTTATCGACTGACTTGACTGGGATCCTGTTTCCAGTCTACTTACAGTTTACTTGAGTTTTTGAAGTCAATTTTCTTGAATTTATATATATATTTATATATATATTATTTATATGTATATTATATATAGTATATATTATGCTTAGACAAATTTTCTTGTTTTCCCCCAGGATTCTGGCTAAAGAAAGCGACTTCCAAATAAAATCGAATTATTATTTTGATTTTATGTTTCAAAAATTTGAACTTATTATTCTTTTGAATATTGAATAAAAAGAGGTTTTTTCTTAATGATTTAGAATGAAATAAGTATTTCCATCTCAGGATTTCGGATATCTTAAGGTATATTCTGTTTATTAGAATCTGAGTGGGGTTTTCTCTTGATTGAATACAGAACCATGAAACTTACCAAAGAGATTCGTTTTTCACCAAACTTTAGCCTGTCCCCTAGATCTATGTGAATAACTCTTTGGAGTGGACTTATGTCTTTGACTTCTTAAATTCATTAAGGTTAGGTTAAAGTTAGGTATAATAAAGTATTAGGTATACTAAGGAGTATCATTAACTTAACTCCTTGATTGTGGTGGACAGGGAAATTCATATCGAATTTATCTCCGCGGATTAATGACCAATTTATTCCAGTTTTCTGTTCTGTTTAATGTTTAAAATGAGAATGAGTGAATTTTTAGGAAAAATTCGATTTCGAAAAACCAACCGGTCAGTCACAAGTACCAAAAAGGAAAATTATATAATTTTTTCTTTCAAATCTTCATTTGATTTTATATTTCTTTTCGATTTTGATTTCTAGGGCTATACGGACTCGAACCGTAGACCTTCTCGGTAAAACGGATCAAACTTATTATTATCAAAATGATCTGAACTGTTTCAAAAACCCAACATGCATTTTTTTTTGCATTGGGCTCTTTCATTAACTGAAAGAAATATCAGCCAATCCACCATATTTTTTTTGACAGAAAAATCCGATAAGGAGATAGCTCCGTGTGCTCTGATTCATTATATGAGAGAGCACTACCAAAGTGTTTCAAGGGTGTGGGTTATCTTGACGTAGGTCTGCCTCCGGCCTAGATTGTTTTAAGTTAAATGAAGTCTCTATCGTTCCTTTGAAAATGAAAATCAAATATGAAACTTCATACACCTTAAAGCTCATAGGACGAAAAGAAATTTTTTGAGAACCTTATACTCATTATGCCTAGCATTGAATGCACTGGTATTCACCTTATCAATATCTCAAATCAACGATCCGGTCTGTTTGGCACCAAAATCCGATCGAATCATTTGTCAGGCTATTGTTCCCTCAATAGTTATGAGGGTAAGACATCGATTTCGCAAGAAAATGAATTTCTTTTTATTTGAGTGTATAATGGACTCCCCCAAAAAACATTGGCGCATGTGTAAACGAGGTGCTCTACCAACTGAGCTATAGCCCTTAGTGCTTGTGATGCGTATTTTATCATGTATAGATTTCTTGTCAAGATGAATATTCTATGATCCAATATCATATATTTTGGAATGGTATTGCTTAGGTTATTATTGCTTATTAAGGAATATGCTATTTATAATCCATCGGTGGGATGGGTTCCGTTTGGTTTTTTGGGATGATAAATTACCTACTTAACTCAGTGGTTAGAGTATTGCTTTCATACGGCGGGAGTCATTGGTTCAAATCCAATAGTAGGTAGAACTTATTAGATACCATTGACTCCGGTATCTAATAAGTTTTTTGACCCATTCTTTTTTCTTTTTAGTGATTTTGTATTCTTATTGATTTCGATTTCATTTTTGAAATGCGTTGTATCAAAATTGGACTCTGTCAAGTGAATCCAATCAAGCAGAATCCAGGCCAAACTTCTTTTGATTATTCGAACGCAATAACTGCTTATGAAATCACATTGACAGCCTCTACTCTTGTCCTAGCTCGTCGGAGAGCTAGATTTGCTTCAATTTTTTGTCTCTTCTTCTTCAGCTTTCTCAAACTAGCTTCTGCTATTTCAAGAGTTTGCTGAGCTTCTTGCGGATCAATATCACTACCCTTTTCCGCATCATTGACTAAAATAGTGATTTCATTATTGCCTATTCTAGCAAAACCACCCATCAGAGCCATCGTGAACCATTGGTCCGTAAGGCGTATTCTCAAAATTCCTATATCTACAGCTGTAGCAATAGGAGCATGATTTGGTAATACGCCAATTTGACCGCTATTCGTAGATAAAATGATTTCTTTCACTTCTGAATCCCAAACAATTCGATTAGGGGTCAGTACACAAAGATTTAAGGTCATTTCTTCAAATTGTTCTCCATTTCTAAGTTCATAGCCTTCCCGGCAGCTTCATCAATATTACCTACCAAAAAAAGGCCTGTTCAGGAAGACCATCTAATTCTCCGGAAAGGATCAATTGAAACCCTCTAATGGTTTCTGCTAGACCAACATATTTCCCAGGAGAACCGGTAAATACTTCGGCTACAAAAAAGGGTTGTGATAAGAAACGCTCAATTTTTCGCGCTCTTGCTACGGTTAAACGATCCTCTTCGGATAATTCGTCCAACCCCAGGATGGCTATAATGTCTTGAAGCTCTTTATAACGTTGTAAGGTTTGCTTAACTCTTTGCGCAGTTTCATAATGTTCCTCACCAACGATCCGAGGTTGAAGCATGGTTGAAGTTGAATCTAAAGGATCTACTGCGCCGGATAGATACCTTTGGCAGCTAATCCTCTTGATAGTACGGTAGTAGCATCTAAATGTGCAAATGTCGTAGCAGGAGCAGGATCGGTCAAATCGTCTGCAGGTACATAAACTGCTTGAATCGAAGTGATTGACCCTTCTTTGGTAGAAGTAATTCTTTCTTGTAAAGAGCCCATTTCGGTACTCAGGGTGGGTTGATAACCGACCGCGGAAGGCATTCTACCTAATAAGGCCGATACTTCGGATCCTGCTTGGACGAAACGGAAGATATTGTCGATAAATAGAAGTACGTCTTGTTCATTAACATCTCGGAAATATTCCGCCATCGTTAGGGCAGTCAAACCAACTCTCATACGAGCTCCCGGCGGTTCATTCATCTGACCGTAAACCAGGGCTACTTTTGATTCTGCAATATTTTCTTCATTAATAACTCCAGATTCTTTCATTTCCATGTAAAGATCATTTCCTTCACGAGTACGCTCACCCACTCCGCCAAATACGGATACGCCCCCGTGGGCTTTGGCAATATTGTTAATCAATTCCATAATGAGTACCGTTTTCCCAACCCCAGCTCCCCCAAATAGTCCGATTTTTCCCCCACGCCGATAAGGGGCTAAAAGATCTACTACCTTAATTCCTGTTTCAAAAATAGATAATTTTGTATCCAATTGGATAAAGGCAGGCGCAGATCGATGAATAGGAAATGTTGTACGAGTATCTACAGGACCCAAATTATCAACAGGCTCTCCAAGCACGTTGAAAATGCGTCCCAGAGTAGCTCCACCGACCGGAACACTTAGAGGAGCTCCCGTATCAATCACTTCCATTCCTCTCATCAGACCATCTGTAGCACTCATAGCTACAGCTCTAACTCGATTATTTCCTAATAATTGCTGTACCTCACAAGTCACATTAATTGGTTGACCAACAGTATCTCGACCTTTAACTACCAAAGCGTTATAAATATTAGGCATTTTGCCCGGCGGAAAGGCTACATCTAGTACCGGACCGATGATTTGGACGATACGTCCCAGGTTTTTTTTTTCAACCGCGGAAACCCCAGTAGTAGGATTAATTCTCATAATAATAAATATGTGTCAAAGTTTGTGAAAATTATCAAATTTAAAATAACCGTCTAATAGCACGCCGATCAGTTAATTAATTCAATTAAGAAATGGGAGTTAGCACTCGATTTCTTTCGTTGGTGCGATTCAATCGAATCCACTTCAATTGGTTCCTTATTCAATGAGTGAAGTTGCAAGCCCAACCAAGCTATTTTGAAACATGAGATCTTGAGAAAGTTTTTCATTTGTCTATCATTATAGACAATCCTATTTCGATTCGAAAATATATTCTATGGAAGTTGAACCCGAACTCTATTTACATTACGATTCATTATTTCTATCTTATCGGCTCTTCTTATTTTTGATTTCAGCATATTAATTTATGCCTATAGCCTATCTCTTGCATGGATGAATTTCGGCTATTTTCATATC